AGAGCAGAATTAAAATAGGTCAAAAGCACTAGGAAAATAAATTATTCAATTCAATCTGAACAAAAGTTGGGCCATGATTCATATTCATAACACTTACATTATACAATATGGGTAAAATGAGCTATTCTTTTAAATGAGCTTTGAAAGTAGCTTCAAAGATAGCAGCAGACAGCCAGCTGTCAATCATCAATAGTACCCCAGTGGGGGTAGAATGACAGCTGATTGGCCTTTCATTTAAGTATAATTTTTGACAATGTAGCAAAGTTTTATGGGATATTCTTTAAAAGTGCACTAGTTAACATTTCTATTTTCTCTACAGGGAAATTGTATCAGTTAGAGTAGAATGTTCCACAGTATGGCATTAAACTTCTTTCTCCATGGCAGCACTACCAGGTCCTGGTCCTTTACCAGGTAAAGTCCTACTGTGGAATGTTCCAGGCAAAGTAATAATATCTCCAATGACACAAGTAGGTAGCAGATCCTCCACCAGAAAAGTGACACGTACCTTTAAAGTAAAAATACTTTTTGAGGTAATTATAAATACACCTGGTATTGGTCTTTCACAGTTATATACTTTCACTTTTCCTTACGCAACCTGCCATTCAAATCCTCCATCCTCCATCTCTCCCACATATGAGTCAGTTCAGAAGCAATATTGAGGCCTAAATGGATGTTGACACATGCAGTGAGCAAACAGAGCCCTACATTGATTTCCATTGGCCTTACTGAAACAAATAGGCCCAAATCCAGTAACACCAGAGCATGGCACCAAACGGCAAAATGCAGCCATAACCACAGTCCACCTAGAAATCAATTGGTCAATAGAGTCAATACACTGGTTAACTCTGCCTTCAGGATCAGATCATATTTCTCAACATGAATGAGATAGATGTGTGGGAACAAACAGGAAAATCAATTGTACTCTTGGATATGATGACTCAGCCAATGCAAGAGACTATAGGCATTTTAGAACAAACTGGCATGCTGGGGATAATATGGTTGAAAATAAAAGTTTAAATGTTTAATTTGCCCCATAGCAGCTTGAGAACGCTCGATCATCTGATCCTGGAAGATAAGCAGGGCTGGGCTTGGTTAATACTGTAATAGAGAATGGAATACTTCGGGGCAGTAGTGGGTCTATTTTAGAAACAAATCCAGAAGCATAAATTTTGTCTTCTTTTGTGTATTAACTTGGGTTATTTTTAAAGTAGGAGACGTATTTACCTTCTTGACATGTTTTGGTTGCTGGCTGCAAGCTATCTTCAGAACTGCCACTGGTGTTTGTGGTGACATGTCATAGTATATCAGCTGTTGTTACTTCCTGTTGGTGTGGTCTGCCTGATGGACCTGGCAGGTCGCTCAGACTGACCACACCTCCTGTCGCCCGGTGGTGTCTGGAGGAGAGTGTGTGAAAGGAGGAACAGTCCATCATCACAGTCGATGCTGTCCATGCCATGTTTTCAGAGTTCAATGGCTTCCTTGATCCAGTGTTTGAACTTATTTCTTTTACAGTGATCTGATATGGTGGATTTAGATTTCTCTGCTCTGCTTGTGTTCTGGTGAGTGTCATTGATGTTTCCTTTTTATATATTTTTTGGTGTCCTGAAGATGGCTTACAACTAGCAGCTGAGACACAACAAGGTAAATACATCTTCTAGTATCTATAATTGTCTTTAAAAATAAGTTATTAATATAGAGACTACTGTATGCTGGCAAAGATTCACCCAGATTGCCTAGTATGAAAGTGGGGGCCGATGGTGCAGATTGGCAGGCTCACTTCTATTAGTCTACCTCAGGGCAGCTGTGGATTTAGTAGCTCATCACCACCAAGCATGGAGTGAATGAATAATGCAATTCAAAGTGCCATCGTCACTTCAAAAGCCCTATAAAAATATAAGACAAGAACAAGACAAGAACAAGACAAGAACACAACAGGCTAATATTCCAGCTATGTAGCCCTGACCAAGCTTAGTACAAGATCTGAAGGATGGGTCAAACGCAGAGGATATATTCCTCACGACAACAATAAGGATCGACAAACCAGGTGTCATTCACAACGTAAATAGATGTAGAGCTCACTTGAGACAACTTGATATTAGCAGAAGTTCAACAGGGGTGATAGAAATACTACCAAGCGGTTCCTTTTCAGCTGTCAAAAACATGATTGGGTCACACAGCTGTAAAAGGGACAGAAACAGAAATACGGTGAAAAAGGAAAAGACAAAGAGCGTCCATGACTGGAGATGACAGGGCCATGTTCAAAGCAAAGCAGCAGTTTCTCAGAACACATATGAAGGACAGGGAGAAAGAGGGATGAGAAGGAATACAAGCAGAGCAAAGAAAGAAAAAAAAGAGGTGCTGCTTGATTGAAGGTAATAATGGCTGAGGGAGAAACAGCATAAGAGAGAACGAATAGGAGAGGAGGAAGAGAGGCAAAAAGAGAGAAAGAAGAGAGAAATGGAAAGAGAGAGCACAAGGCAGAAAGAGTAAAAGACAAAAAAGGGAGAGAGAGAAACAAGGAAAAGAGACAAGAGGAGAGGAAGGGAAACTGAAGAACAGGAAATATGAAAAAAGGAGAGAGCAAGGGAGATGAGGCAGAAAAAGAGAATGAGTAGAGCGAAAGTGTATAGGTCAAAAAGAGAGTACAAAAGAGAGAGAGAGAAAGGGGGTAAAAAAATACGAGTGAGAGGAGCAAAAGCAAGAGAAAAATTGAAATAGATCGTACACGATAAACAGAAAAAAGAACAGAAGAAAGAAAGTAATGGGAAAAGAGAGAGAGGAGTGAGAAAGAGAGTGAGAGAGCGGAGAAAAGAGCAAGAGAGAAACAAAGGATGTCAGAGATAAAGGAAAAGAGAGAGGGGGGTGTTGAGAAGCCACAGGGGAGCATAGGGAGGTGTGCCGCATGTCAATACAAACGATAAGTCACTCACAGACTTCAATCCAGCCACAAGTCCTCAGAGAAATATTCAGGCAGTTGTAATCATGCGTAACTCATTAGACACTGTGTCAATACGCAATGATAGCAACTACTGTAATGTAATGCCAAAAGTTGAAAATCCTGGACACAATTCAAAAATTTCAAACCCAATGAAGTATTAAAATTTTTAAATTTTCTATATTCTACTAAACCAATTCTATCACTTATAAACAACAACTGCTTAGCCAATAGCAGGACTTTGACTATGAACTACTACATGCAACGCAAAACATGCACCATAGTAGTCCAGACCACCGGTTGGTTTACACAAGAATGCTTGCGGGTAAAAATGACAAAATATTTTATCAAAAGTGCCTTTCATTTAGACGGTGACGGTGTTTTTGGGGCTTAAAAACGTAAAAATCCGACATCACCCTCCAGAGTGGAAAAGTTGAATACGCTCTGCCGTAGAGTTTCCATGTACACTGCCCAAGACGCAAAACTCTGGTCAGATCTGGTCAGATCTGCTCACATCGCGTACACGTTTAAGTCACATACTTCACCACCTAGCCGCCTGGCATACATACCTTATCAAATTCCACCCATTTTTGCATCCTCCCAAAAACCTTCATTTAAATGCAGAATAACTTTTGTGTCTTCTATTCAAACCGTCATCATATAAACGTAGCCCAAGACTAGCAAGAAGATCACAGAGATGGGTCTCCCACACATAGGCCCAAACCGCAGGAGGCAGCCAGAACCACAGTCCACATAGAAATCAAACGGTCAATAGAGTCAATGCACTGGTTAACTCTGCCTTCGGGATCAGATCATATTTCTCATATTTCTTCACAGTGCTCACTGTTCCTGAGGAGATGACCCAGAGGCATTGAAGGATGGGCAAAATGTGGACAAATTACCCTACGGGGACAATAAAGTGAACCTTAAACTTTAACCTGTGCTTTTATCAAAATCACTAAGCACTGTATTTATCCACTTGCTTCAAATTATTAATGGGTCATCTCCATAACCATGGCAAATAACAATTAAAAATGAAATGTTCTATTTTCTGAATGGTGAAATGTCCTCAAAATGTTGCTTATAACACAAGTTGAAACCCATGCATAGGAACCTACAGTATACATACACTATATCCTCAGCTTTGACCAAATTTACAACAAGCCAGAAAACCATGTAAAAACACTTTCTATTGTAGCAATGCACAAAGCTAAGTTAAACTAGCATCACATGCAAAGACAGCCACTCATTCATGTAACAAAACAGGGCCCACGTTTCCTGCAACAATATGTGTTACACGGGTTTCAAGGACAAAACTAAACCCCATGTTATCCCAGTATCTCTAGGAACACAGCTCTGAAAGATTCAACTCAGAAGTCACTCTTCTCTCACACAGACATCAATACTTGTTTGCAGCCCGGGATGTGCCGTGGCCTGGAGGGATTCTCTGGGAAAAGTATAAGGAGAATTTATGAGGGTGTAATCTCCTACCGGGATCGTGCTCTTTGAACTTTGAACCCCCCAGTCGTCATGGTGACCGAGTGACCCGCGCAGGATAGACAGCCCGGAGGGTCCAACATGACAGTTCAACCAGTGGATTTGACAGTGCTGCAAGATGAACAACAGTTAGAGGGGATGAGGAGGAGGAAAGGGAGGTAAAGGAGAAAGAAGGAGGAGGGGAAGAGAGGAGAGTGATAGAAGAGGAGGACATTATAGGTCAAAGTAGGGAAATAGATTATAGATGGGCACAGTTTAGGGTGAAGTGCTTTTATCATTTTAAACAGGTTCTCTCATACCATCTTAAAGCAAATTAAAATACTGCACGCTTGGATTACATTTTTAAAATAATTTCCTATAATAAGGTATTTGATTGATTTGCAACGTATGACTTTTAGACCCCACAGAAATTGATAATAGATCATACTTCCGCAATATAATGACTACATTCTCTGACGCCTCATGTTATTTTGATGAGCATGGATTGCCAGCAGTGTTTTTCTGTGAAATTGATTTCTTTATTATATCGCTACAAGGAGATTGTCAGAAAAAACTGTGTTAAGGATACATCCGCACTCCTCCCGATCTGGAGCCAATGGCCAGGATCTTCTGAACAGGGTCGAAGGCCAGAGCTGTGGGCTGGTACGGGAAGCCATGACGCACCGTCTGCAAACGCACAACAAGAAAATACCTTTTATTTAATCATGTACTTCACTTATTACTAAACATCACTTGTATTCATTATCTTAACATGTATCAAGCCTTTTTACACTGCCATAATTAAATCAACAACAGAAGTACAAGCTGTTAACTCGATCAACACAGCATCTCCCCACCAGCCATGCAATTTAATATACCATTTGACATAGCTTTCTTTTTTCTTTTTTCATTTTGGTAGAAGTCTATAATCTCCTTTTAGATGCTGAGTTTGATGCATGTTCTTCTATTTATGCCTGTGTCTTTTATGCCAAATGCCTTACCAGACCCAAACCCCTTTTCTTTTATCCTGCCATATTTGAACCCTAGGGTACTCAAACTGTGCAATACTTTCATCCACACGTTGGGACAGACCTCAGTTTTAAGAGTGGTTCATGATAAATGTTAGTCTTGGAATACAAACTGTTAAAAAAGGAGAAAAAAAGAGCAGTAAAGTAAACAGGCTGATTTAACAGATGGAATAACAAACTTTGATGAAAAAAAATAAAAATAAAAACAACCTCTTCTTCTAATATTTAAGCCAGTGAAATAGTCCAACTTTAAAAGGTTCTCTATTACGCAAAATTAGGGTGACCAGATTTTCTAAATCAAATACTGAGACACCCCCGGTTTGTGGTGGTTGGTAATAATAAAATTGTGAAACTAGTGCATAATTAAGGAAAACTGTACTGCGCTCTGCACTATTGTGAGTCAGTATAATCACATTTTCTTTGTGTTTTGGTCATTTTTAAGGAGCTTTTCTGTATTTTACCTAAACAAATGACAATGTATGCATATCTTTACTGTTGGTAGGGATCAGGTTTGTCAAAAATAGGGAAATCTGGGACATTTCTTGTATAAAACTGGGACAAATCACAGTCAAATGGTTTTGGATAAATCTGCAGGGACAGGGGACTCAGGGCTCAAAACTGAGACTGTCCCAGGTAAACAGGGATATCTGGTCACCCTACGCAAAACTGACATTTGTGAGCTTTAAACCATGCTATAACGTTGGTACCTCATCAAAAACGTACTTGGAGTTGTGTTTTGTTCATTCACACATGTTTGAGTAACTTGTTAAAACATGTGTGAAAGAAACAAAACACAACACTAGGTTTGTGTTTGATGAGGAAACAAGATTATAGCAGATCAGAAAATAGTGTAATACGGGCCCTAAGAACATTCTAAGTAAAGCAGTATCATCTTCATAAACGCAAGTAGGTCCCGTAGTGCACCTTTAACCCACAAGTTAAATCAAAGAGAAGTACAAATGCTCTTCTTGCTATTTTAATATACGTGGGAGCAAAACCCAATAATCCACATGGAGAGTTTATACTGTAGATGTGTATGTCTACAACATAGTATGTACGCAAAATGAAATGACTAAAGCTCTAAATATTTCAGCACATGGGGCACTCAATTTACCATTTAAGAAGGACTAATACATGAAAGATGCAGCAGAATTTCAATGGAGTAAAATCATGTTAAAATTCAAAAGCTTTACAAGGTCAATCGATGGAGCAGTGCCTTTTCACGCATATGTTAAGGTAGAAGAAAATATATCTCTGTATCTGTACACTACTAAGCCTTGAACGTAGACATAAAAGCTGTAACCTTAGATGCCACAAACTTCTATTTCTTGTGCAAAAAAGCGTGTACAAACCCTATCTTATTCCTCTTTGAACTTGCAGTGCAGGTGGGGTCTTATCTTTTCCTCCTAATCCATCAACAACCTTCAAGGCTCTGCAGTGGTGTACTTGACGTAGTACTGGTCTGGACACTTATAAATATATTAATGAAATGCGCAAGCCTTAAGGAAAGCCCAGTCAATGTTACGAGCAGTATAAGCCTGAGCAGATGGTGGAGCGGTCAGAGGAAGTGCACACACCTGTGAGACTGACCTTTAGCCACAGCATCAGAACTTGTACTGCAGCAAAAACACTAACTCCATTTAAGACAGAACAATGTGGGCTGATATTGTGAGACAGTGTGGAAAACGAACAGGCTAGCTACTATTATTCTCAAGATAAAATATTTTTGTCAAACTGTGTAGTGTCAAAAATAAGCTATAGAAGAAGTGAGGATAGTGGAAAATGGAGAGTTGTTTGAGATGTCTTTGTATACAGTATAGGTAACAGTTCTAGTAAGAATAGAGTTAGCTGTAAAAGTCTGTGTAGTAGTAATTATGGTGGTTATAGCAGTAGCAGTAGTAGTAGGCTGCTTTCTGTAAGACATGTGACAATATTTGCATTTGTAAGCTCAACAGAAATTGGACAGCAGTACTAACTGTACCAGTGACAATATTTTTAGATGTTGCAGAGTAAATGTAAGAAGTATACTGCAATGGTAGCAGTAGTTGCAGAAGGGATAGTAGTAACAATAATAGTAATAGTGGTTAGCAGTAGTAGTAGCAGTACTAGTAGTAGTAGGAAAAATAAAAGGGGCTTTGGAGCCGATGTAACAGCTGATGTAAAAATACACTGTAAATCTTCAATTGTTTATAAAATTTAAACTTTACTCTGTTGGATTTTAAATTGGGTTTCTTTAGGCTACATTTACTGTTATTTTGCTTCTTTACAGTCATATTTAAAGACTATAGGTAGGCCTAATGGTATTTTTGGGTGAAATTTTTTAAACAAAGTAAGTAAATTATTGCTAAGCTTTTGGTGGTTAACTTAAATGTCTGCGTGCTGCTGTAATTAATTATATGCATAAATGTAGACCATTCACACCTGTATTCACAGCTCATCTATATATCAGTGCAGGTCCAATAACATGTATACAGCAGCTACAGTCACTTTACAGCTGGCCAGTGTATGAGAAAACAGGTTGTACATGTGTAATAGCTTACAGCAGCTAACCACTCGTACAGGCTCCTTTCAGATCAAAAGTCTTGACGAACAAGTGTCCTTTTAATCCTGACTCAAAACGATCATATTAAAAAGAACATAATCCATCATAATCTGTATATGGGACAGTCGTCTCTTCTCCGCATTCACACTTAAAACAAGCAGTAGTTTTGTTGCTGGCCTAAACTGCGCTGAAGTTCACTTTTATTTATAGTTAATAGCTTAGATCAGACACAAGAGCATTTAAAGCAGGCACCTCAATGTTGCCTCAGAGCAATGGTGAGATCACACTGGTGTAAACAAGAGCATGTGAGTCACGCGACCTGACTCGGGGGGTGCATTCAGGGGCTGGACGGCGCCACAGAAACAAATTACTCCTTTGATAAATATTGATGCAGTGGCACATATTAGGACATTTATCTGTCTGTAAATTGGATTAAATTGACATAATATAGTCTATGCTTTACAGTGAGGTATAACATGCCCACATCAGCTACTGGCCCATATAGGCAATATTTAAGCCGACAGCCAATATGTCTCCAAGGGCCCATATCTGCCGATAATCTCAGCCAACTAGCAGAAATTGCATTAATTGACTGATATTAGGGGTTGGATTCAGTAAGTTTACACTTCTTCCAATTGTCTTTTTGGTGCAGTTATTTCTCTTTGAATTGCATTTTCATTTTTTCATTACTTCCATCCATCCATTTTCTTCCACTTTATCCGGGGCCGGGTCACAGAGGCAGCAGTCTGAGCAGGGAGGCCCTGACTTCCCTTTCCACACACACTTTCTCCAGCTCTTCCAGGGGACCTCGGGGCACTTCATTAATTTCAAAGAATAGGCACATGTTGTAGTAGCATAGTAGTAGTAGTTCATAAATGCTTTGAATTGAGATTACTTAAAAAGATCCTGGAGAGATTCCAACTCATCTTAAAGTAATTTTGAAGTCATTGTGGGCCCTTGTGTTTGTACTCTGAAAAAACATCTTTGTTTGCTGCTCCCCGCCCCATCACTAAAGCAAACTCTATTTGGGAGCGGTTAATAATGCATGTGATGAGTGATGCGCTTAAATGTGTGGACACAACAAAGTGAAAGCAGAGACAGACTAAACTCCTAAAATACTACATTAGCCTAGTTTTCCATTACGCCTTTTGTTTACTTTTGAGATTTTTATGGGAAGTTTTTAACATTTCGTTTACCTGAACTGATGGCTCATTTTAGTGCATGGGAGTTGAAATGTCCCATAGTGTGGCATTAAGCCTATCACCCAAGCAGACGGTGCATTGGCCAAGTAAAAATTCAGAAACTGTAGTTGTAGCAAAGCAGTAGCAACAGTAGTGATTACGCAGTATTTCAGGTCACAGTGGTTAGGCAAGTGGTCCCCCAATCCAAAAGTCGAAGGATTGATTCCCACTCAGACCAAGTTCTACTGTTGTGTCCTTAGGCAAGACACCTTACCCACCTTACCTTGTGTTTTTATTGATTTCAGCTCCCTGTTTAAGGCATTTTGGTAAAAGACAAAATATGTTCCAAATTCTCCCATTTTTAGTTTATAAAAGGTATAATAGGGATCACTATTCCTCTAATATGTGACCAGCTTTTTGAAAATTGATTTTCTGAATGATAAAGTAAAGTTAATGTGACATTGACAGCCAAAACACTTTTTTTTAAATTATACATGTTCTGACATTTATTATCATGACTGATTAACTGAATATATTTATTCCTACTCAAAATAGGTTCCGAACTCACTCTGTATTGAGTGTAAACAAAGCGTTATAGATCACCATTCCTCTAATACATGATAAGCTTTTTGAAATAAAAACAAAGCCAAAGTTGGAGATATCGCTAGCAACCAGGTGGAGAGGACAGCTTTGAAGAGACAGGTGGCTAAGAAAGCTTCTGAGCTAAAGCTGGAAAAATGCAATAAGAAAAAACAAAAACAAGGGAAGGAACTTGAATGAAGTGAAGTGAAGGAAGTTGAGAACGCATTAGAGAAAAAGAGAGAGGCATTCAAATACAAAATCCAGAAATATTAAGAGACATACCAGGCGGTCACGGCAAAAGTTCAATAGACCCCAAAAACAATGGCTATATCAGCTCTCTCCCGTTTAATTTAC